CACAATTTGTTAAGTCACTACTCACTAAGAGCTCTCACACTTGCTACACTAAAGAGCTCCACTAGATGAACTTAAACTATAAAGCAAGCTCTCAATTCTAGCTACACTAAAGAGCTTGCTACAACTAGTTTGCGAGAATGTAAATGAGTGAGTAGGGTGATTATACCGCCGTGTAAAGGAGTGAACCAATCACAAGATGAATACCAATTCAATCATTGGGAGAACACCAAAGGGCAAGAGACAACTAATTTTTCTCCCGAGGTTCATGTGCTTGCTGGCATGCTAGTCCCCGTTGTGTCGACCAACACTTGGTGGTTTAGTGGCTAAGAGGTGTTGCATGAACCTCGTCCACACAATTGGACACTGCAAGAACCTACCCACAAGTGAGGTAACTCAATGACATGAGCAATCCACTAGAGTTATCTTTCGACACTCCACCGGGAAAGGCACAAGACCCCTCACAATCACCAGAGCTAGCCACGAACAATCACCAACTCATGTCGAAGCTGCTCCGCTGCTCCAAGCCATCTAGGTGGCGGCAACCACCAAGAGAAACAAGAGAATCCCGCAGCGAAACACGAACACCAAGTGCCTCTAGATGCAAACACTCAAGCAATGCACTTGGATTCACTCCCAATCTCACAAAGATGATGAATTAATGATGGAGATGAGTGGGAGGGCTTTGGCTCAGCTCATAAGATTGCTATGTCAATGCAAATGGCCAAGAGAGTGAGCTAGAGCCGGCCACATGCCTTAAATAGAGCCCACAATGAAATAGAGCCATTGGCTCAGTCCTCTAAAATTTGGGCTGACCGGATGCGTCGGTCAGATTGACCGGACGTAGGACCCCAGCGTCCGGTCGCCCGATACTCACCATGTGTCATCAACCTCAAATGCTGAGCGCCCGATCTTAATAGCTAGTCTGCTTCATGCCAGGTGTTAAATTGTGACCGGACGCACTGCTCAAAGTGACCGGATGTAGGAGGGGCAGCGTCCGGTTGAGTTGAGAGAGCTCCCAGACCTACTTTTTCTTGACCGAACGCGTTCGGTCCACCATGACCGGACGCGCCGGTGCGTCTGCTCCTCCTCCTCTTCTCTGCGCGCTGCCATGTCAGCCGGACCAGACACTGAATAGTGTTTAGCCATTGTCCGATCACCTGCGTCCGGTCTCAGGCCAAGAGTAGCCCGAGCACACCACTGATTTTATAAATGACTGGACGCTGCTCCCCCGAGTCCTGTCACCACGTGACCGGCGTCTGGTCACTGTTTTTCAGTGACTATCACCTCCTTCACTTCACCAACTTCTTCACCATTGCTCAAATGTGCCAAACACCAAGTGTATCACCTTGTGCACGTGTGTTAGCATATTTTCACAAATATTTTCAAGGGTGTTGGCTTTCCACTAGATCCTAAATGCATATGTAATGAGTTAGAGCATCTAGTGGCACTTTGATAACCGCATTTCGATATGATTTCACCCCTCTTAATAGTACGGCTATCGATCCTAAATATGATCACACTCGCTAAGTGTCTCGATCACTAAACCAAAAAGCTCCTATCAATTTCACCTTTGTCTTGAGCTTTTTGTTTTTCTCTTTCTTCTTTTCCAAGTCCAAGCACTTGATCATCACCATGGCATCACCATCATCATGTCATGATCTTCATTTGCTTCACCACTTGGAATGTGCCACCTATCTCATAATCACTTTGATAAACGAGGTTAGCACATAGGGTTTCATCAATTCACCAAAACCAAACTAGAGCTTTCACCTATCCACAATTCTAGAGATTATGATCTCTAATTCACACAAGAGGCTAAGTCACTACTCTCTATGTTAGTGAGCTCTCAAAGACTAACTAAAGAGCCTCACTAACCATTAAACAAGACACAAGCTAGCTCTTAAAACTAATTACACTAAAGAGCTTAGCTACACTAGAAAAATAAATACACAAGAGAGATAGTGGGTTATACTCCCTTGATAAGAGATGATCAATCAATCATAATGAATGCCAAATGAGTTCCTCAAAGACAAGATGACACAATGATTTTTCACCGAGGTTCACTTGCTTGCCGGCAAGCTAGTCCTCGTTGTACCGATTCACCGACTTGGAGGGTCACGCGCTAATAGGCATCACACGCCTAACCCGTAATCGGGTGTCGCACAACCAACACAAGATGGAGATCTATAAGCTATGAGCAATCCACTAGAGTACCTTTTGACTCTCCATCAAGGAAAGGTCAAGAACGCCTCACAATCACCACAATCAGAGCCGGAGACAATCACCTTCCTCCGCTCAACGATCCTCGCTGCACCAAGCTGTCTAGGTGGCAGCAACCACCAAGAGTAACAAGTGAAATCCACAGCGAAACACAATCACCAAGTGCCTCTAGATGCAATCACTCAAAGCAAGACACTTGGATGCTCTCCAATCTCACCAAATGATGAATCAATCAAGTAGGAGTGGATGGAGAGGAGTAGCTTAGCTCTCAAGGATGAAACGTATGTCAAAGTGCCAAGAGAGGGTGCCCAAGGCCGACCCTTTCACTTAAATAGACACCCCAAGAGCTAGTGACCGTAAGGCCACTAAAGTGGTCGTCAGACCCGCAGACACGGGCCATCGGACCATCCGACGCTCGGTCCGACACCCTATCATGTCCATTCATGCGCTGCCACATGTCCAAATCAAATCAAATCGACTGTTGTGCACCCAACGTCTCTCTATCGCGCGTTGATCAAGCCGTCGGGCCCAGCCATCGGACCTTCCAACGCCCAGAGTCTGAGGCCTGTGAAATTTATACCGAGAGGTCTAGAAATGCTGAAAACCGTCGAACGCCGATCCGACGCTCACCGTCAGACGTAGCCAACGATCCAACAACGCCACGTTGTTGCGCTCCCATGCGCTGCGCCAATTCCTGCGTAGAAGAACAGTGTTCTAGACCTGTCCGACGCCTCCGCGAGCCACGGTCCGATGCTCTCTTCTCTTCTACGCACGCTAGGGTTAGCTGTTGGACTCACCCTGGCTAGGGTCCGACGCCCCTCGAGCTAGGGTCCGACGCCCCTGATTCACTCATTTTCAAGCGTGATCACTTCACCCTTGTGCATGTGTGCCAACTCCAAGTATTCCAACACTTGTGTATGTGAGTTAGCAACATTCTAAGCCAAATCCCAAGGGTGTTAGCACGCAATAGAATCTAAATGCATATGCAATGAGTTAGAACATCTAGTAGCACTTTGATAACCGTATTTCACGACGAGTTTCACCACTCTTAATAGTACGGCTATCTATCCTAAATGTGATCACACCCAATAGGTGTCTTGATCACCAAAACATAATGGCCCTATCAAATATACATTTGCCTTGAGCCCATTTTATTTTTCTCTTTCTTCTTTCCAAGCCCGAGCACTTGATCATCACCATGGCCATCACCACCATCATGATCTTCATCCATTTGCTCCTCCACTATGAATGTGCACTAACCTATCTCATGACCACTTTAGAGCCAAAAGTTAGTACCCAGGGTTTCATCAATTCACTAAAACCAAACTAGATCTTTCAGCGACGAAGAACACTAGGTTCTAGGTGAGGCAGGGGCAGCAGGGTAGGCGACGGTGGTGTTGGAGCTTCCCCCACCCCCGCAGGCTGGCCGCGCCCCTGTGTTGGTCTCCAGGAGCAAAATTACCCGTTTTTGTAATGGTACTCGGCAAACACAAAAAAATAGCGATATTGAACAGCCAATTCGATCAAAGAATGGTGATCGCCAGCAAATTTTACCTGTATTTATTTACTTCTCCTATATTTCAGGTGCCTGAATTTTAAGTTAATTTCAGGCAACACTCTTGTACTACCAACTAGTACAAGTAAATTATTACTTTTGTTATTCGTTATTTGTTTTTGTGTCATAACACATTAAATTTTTATCCCGGTCTTCCTATAGAAATAATTGTTAATTGTTAATTGTCTTTATGCTATCACAAATCAGATTTTATCGGATTTGTAGTTTTGTCTATCGGTTTTTTTTATAAATAATCCTATATTTCAGGTGCCTGAATTTTAAGATGATTTCAGACAATACTCTTGTACTACCAATTAGTACGAGTAAATTGTCACTTTTGTGATTTGTTATTTGCCTTGGTGTCATAATATATCAAAAAAATTTATCCTTATCTAACTATAAAAATAATTATAAATTATTAGTTTGTCTTGTGCAACCACATATCAATTTGTCAGGTTTATGGTTTTATCTAACGGATTTTTTTATTCTCGGAACCAAAAATTGCATGCAATGAACTAAAACTAAAATTTTAGTATAAAATATAAGCAATAATCGTTGCCTGAAACAAAACTAAAATTCAGGCACATGAAATTTAGCAAATCTTTTTTTTTATTTTTGGTACCAAAAAATTACGGATTACGCCTACAGAAATTGCAGTGAAGAGAGTTTACAATTTTAATATAAAATGTATGCAATAATCGTCGCCTGAAAGAAAACTAAAATTCAGGCACCTGAATTTTATCAAATCCTATATTTATTGGCAACATATTAGGTGCAAACCAACCAACCTATATAAACTTAGAAACTACCAATTAGGACCACTAGTTGCTGATCCAATGGATGGGGTGAGAGGTGAGATTTTTTTGCGCTTAAGCCCCCCCCTCCCCCACACCCGCCTGCCTTTTTTTTTGTTGCGCTTAAGCCTCCTCATCCCATTCATTGGATCAGCATCTAGTGGTCCGATTGGTAATTTATAAGTTTGCACGGGTTGGTTGATTTGCACTAATATGTTACTTTTTTTTTTGTGTAGTAAATATTTTTGTTTATATATTTTCAGTTAATATAGAAATTGATTTATTTAAGGATAGACCAGTGTAAGGTCATCGGCAATGTCGCCTAAAAATCTCCTGCAGCTGAAATATAACCACTCTTTTTTTGTTTGTTTGTATCTACTCCGTACCCATCATCTTGAACTGGAACTCGCGCAGCTTAAACGGCCGCCTCCATGGCTACTTTCCCGGTTACCACCTCTCCCCATCCTCACCAGAGCACTCCACCACCCACAGCCGGCCACCTCCGCCTGCCAACAGCCACCTCTGCCGATGCCGCCCTCGCCACCCTCTCCGCCTTCCTCTCCTCCGGCCGCCTCACGACCTCCTCCCCCTCCGTCCTCCCCCGCACCCTCCGCGCCGCCGCCGACCTCCGCCTCCCGCGGCTCGGCCTGCAGCTCCACGCCTTCCTCATCAAGACCCGCCTCCTTGCCGACCCCTTCTCGGCCTCCGCACTCCTTCACCTCTACTCCACCCTCGCCCCGCTGCACCGCACCCGCCTCCTCTTCGACAGGATCCCCAAGTCCACCTACCCCGTCCCCTGGAACACCATGATCCTACGGTAGCCAGAACTTCCCCATGAGCTTTCTCAAAGTTGCAATCTTTGTCTGTGACTTTGGCTGACCATTTGCCCTATGATTTTTGCATCTTCCTACCTATGGTAGGTACGCGCAAGATGGATTCTTGGATGAGGCGTTCGAGCTGATGGTGGCAATGGAGGAATCCGGCGTCCCCATTGGTGCGTCCACCTGGAACGCCGTCATCGCTGGGTGCGTCCGTGCCGGGAACGGAGAGCTCGCCATCGAGCTGCTAGGCAAAATGGTTTCGGTTGGGGGAGTTGTGCCTAATGTGGCCACGTTTAACACCGTGCTCCATGTGATTTCGGTGTTGCGTGGGGTGGACGTGCTCCGAGAGATGCACGCATTTGTGCTGCGCCACGCTGAGGTTGTGGGGCTTGGGCCTGTGGATTTGGATCGACTCCAGGAATCCCTGGCCGCAGGATACATGTGCAGCTCCTGTGTTCAGTACGCAGGCCGTGTGTTTCGTGATGTCAGGATAACTACCTGCTTCCTGGGCAACCTGATGATATCGGGATTTCTTGATACGGGGCAGAGGAATCAAGCCTTCGGTGTTTTCCGAGAAATGGCATTTGGCTGTGGTTATGAAGCTCGGCATCTGCCATCTGTTTCGCTTACGCTGGTCCTCCCTGAGGTCAATCTGGCAACAAAGAGAGGCTTAGAGATCCATGCTTATGGGTATCGCCATGGTTTTGAGTGTGACACCTCGGTCTGCAATGCCTTGATGGCAATGTATGCGAAAAGGGACAAGATATGCCTGGCAGACAAGATTTTCCAAGGATTGGATAATAAGGATGTCGTGTCATGGAATACTATGATTTCAAGTTATGCTACAGTCCATGATTTTGATCTTTCATTTGAGCTGTTCCGTGAAATGCAACGTAATGATACCAGGCCTGATGACTATACATTTACATCGGTGCTTAATGCCTGCAGCTTTGCCTGCAATCATAGGACAGTAATGGCATTGCACGGGCAAATGATAAGAATGGGGCTTTGTCATTCCTATGTTGATGATATGAATTCTCTCATGGATGCTTATGGAAAGTGTGGTTTCATTGATGAAGCTCAAAATATATTTGATGAGACTGATCGGAAAGATACAATTTCGTGGAATATCATCATCTCGTGCTATGGCTACAGCGGTTTTCCTCAACGAGCAATCAGGCTTTTCCATCAGATGCAAGATCAAGGCTACAAACCTACTAGAGTCACTTTTATTGCTGTGCTGGCGGCGTGCAGCCATGCGGGCTTAGTGGACGAAGCACTGCATTATTTTGAGGGAATGCACAGAGACTACAATATTACTGCTGATGAGGCTCACTATGCCTGCATCATTGACTGTTTTGGCAGAGCAGGTCAGCTCAAACAGGCTTATGAATTCATCAGAGGAATGCCAGTAGTTCCAAATGCTTGTGTGTGGGGTGCCTTACTTAGCAGTTGCAGGATGCACGGAAATATAGGCCTAGCAGAAATTGCGACGAAGAAGCTCATTGAGCTGGATCCTCAGCATTCTGGATACTGGATGTTGCTAAAAGACATCTACGCGAAAGCCATGAGATGGAATGATGTTTCACAACTTCGAACTGCTATGAGAGATAAGGGCATTAAGAAGTGCCCAGGTTATAGCTGGATTGAGGTTCGAGATAGTGAGGTCCACAGATTCCTTACTGCTGACAAGCTTCACACACAAGGCCATCAGATATACGAAGTACTAGGTGGGTTAACCGAGCAGTTGATGGATGAAGGATATGAACCTAAAATAGATGTCGATTTGACATATACTGAATGAGGGATGTACTAGATTTCTACATCTTGTCTTAAAAATCTAGCAATCAAGCTGACATCTCAACACCATGTCTATTGCTAGTAGGCACGCGAATCTTATTGAATGACTCCTTATTTTTTTTTTAAACAGTGTTTTTCTCTTACAACAAATCAGTCGGAACAGTGTTTTGGCTTCTTTTTCCAGCGAAGCGAACGGGGCCCCTTGCACGAGCTAAAAGTTTAGCTGCTGCCCAGATTAGAAGGGCTAAGGAGTAGGAGCCAGTAGAGGATGTTAAATTTTGGGCTCATCTGATGTGTAAGTTGATGCCACGTCACGAAAAGATCATCAGACTCAGAGCATTGTGTAACAAGAATATACAGAGTTCACAGCCTAATCTCAATTTTTTTTTTGGTGAGAAATCCTGATTCAAATATTACACCATGACTCATACCAAAGGTTGCTCAAGATTTACTGCATAAGAAAAAGGCAAAATGAGATTGTGAAAACAGAAAAGCAGCAGCTGACTTCTAAACTGCCTTGACAGGAGTCCTTGTTGGAAAATACAGAAGCCAAATCAGCAGCGGACTGTGTTAGCTTCGAACAAGTTTGTTTCTTGCTGGCAGTTTGCTATAACAAATAGTAGGGACGTGAAATACGCAGGACAGTCTCGCAAAAAAAAAGGCAGGACATACAAGAATGACTTGAAGTGTACAACACGCTTTTCCAAAGTCCAAAATATAAACTTTGATCTGTAAATTATACTCATGGAAAATGGTTGGTTCCTCTTTCCTTTGCTCAGGCCAATGGAAGTGCCGTATACAGCTAACGGAGTTCAATTGCATTGAGAGGATGTTGACATGAAAATGCTTTTGTTTTAACTGACAACTCAAACAACTAGTAAACTTCTCGGCACTCAAAAGGCTGATATAACTATTGCCGACCAGTAAACAGGCCTACAATTTAAAAAAATGGGATGCCAGGTTTGGTTAGAGGAGATAGTCGTTTTGGGGTATCTGCCTTCCAGTATTTTCCACTAGCTAGATGTTGTTATGTTGTAGTAACGTGTATAATTTACTTCTTTTCTAAAGGCACCAAGAAGTCATTTCACTTGTTAATCTTATATAAAACCTCTTTTTTTCTGGTATTATATGGATGAAAATTCTTGCTTTTAGGGTGAAATTAGCAATATTGCTAAGATGGAATGAATATCGCAAAGAGTTTTGTTTCGTAAATTGGAATTTATAACTTGTATTGGAACTAGATGATACCCCGTGTGTTCCTGTAGGAATTTTTAGAAGGATTTGTGAATCGTTCTTCTACAATGGAGTTGAAGTGTGATGACTTAGTGTAACAGATTTCTTAATAGCTATAGAAATAAAAATATAATAATTATTTTATACAATATGGAACTAAATAGAATCCATCCAGAAAAAAGAGAAGTATCACTGGATCATGGTAATAGAAGTACTAATGAGACATCTTATTGTAATAACTAACAATATTGCTAATTTAATGTAAGGGGTATTTGGTTACTCCTTCTAAACTTTAGTCGTTGTCCCATTGGATGTTTAGACACATGCATGGAATATTAAATATAAACTAATTACGAAACTAATTACACAGTTTGCGACTAATTTGCGAGACGAATCTTTTAAGCCTATTAGTCCATGATTTGACACTGAGGTGCTACCGTAAACATGTGCTAATGACGGATTAATTAGGCTTAATAAATTCGTCTCGTGGAGTACTGACGGATTCTGTAATTTATTTTTTTATTAGTATCCGAACATCCTATGCGATACCCTCATGTCACACCTCTTAAATTCTAGTCACCGGATCCAAACACCCCCTAAGTACGTACAGTAGTCTATGAGAAGGTTGCATGCATTGTTGACTATATCCTGCATGTGGTGAGAAAAAAAACAACATTATTTGAATGGCTCAATTTGTGTACTCAAGGTGCGGTATCTATTTTATTTTATTTTATAGGACGACGATTAGACCTGCTATGTTGTATGGTGCAGAATGTTGGTCTATGAAAAGACGACATGTTCAACAGCTAAGTGTCGTGGAAATACGTATGTTGCGTTGAATTTGCGGTCATACAAGAAGGGATCGAGTTCGTAACGATGATATACGTGATAGATTAGAGGTAGCATCAATTGAAGAAAAGCTTGTCCAATACTGGTTGAGATGATTTGGACATGTGCAACGGAGACCTCCAGAGGCACCGGTGCGTAGTGGAATCCTAAGTCAGGATAGTAACGTGAAGAGAGGCAGAGGAAGACCGAAGTTGACTTGGGTAGAGGCAATAAAAGGAGACTTGAAAGGATGTAATATACCCAAAGACTTAGCCTTAGATAGAAGTGCTTGGAAGATAGCTATTCACGTGCCTGAACCTTGATTGCTTCTACTGGGTTTCAACTCTAGCCTACCCCAATTTATTTGGGACTTAAAGGCTTTGTTGTTGTTGTATTTAGCTTAGTTGCCAATGATCAGATAGTATTATGAATATGATGTTGTATCTTCATTCATGATGGCCTTTATGGAACTATAAACACAGTTTGTGTACCTATGCGAGCTAGAAGAGACCAACGAAGCACCAACTCTCAAATTATTGAACACCTTTGGAGCTACAGCGCAATTGTCCTGTTCGCTTAGCTTATAAGCCATACTTTTTCAGCCAATGAATACTATTTTTTTTTCTTTCACAACAAATCAGCCAATAGTACTTCTAGCCATAGCTTATCAGCCAAACGAACAGGTCAACTATCAGAGTAGAGGGTGGCGACAGAGATGACACATCAGTACGCCCCGCAGCAACCGTTGCGGTCGGAGGAACCATGTCCATCGCGGGCTCGTGGCCATCCTTGCCTGCCTCAGGTACGCGCCAACCGCCATGGGATACGGCTTCCTAGCTGTGGTGTCGCCGGTGGAGACTACCGACCGTGTTGTCTCTGTCTATGTCGCCGCCGCCGCTGCCACGATCGCTGTAGAACTCCGAGTCAAGACCGACGCCATCTTCTCCGACATCAACCTCGCCGTGGGGTTCTGCAGCGCCGTGGTGGTGCTGTTGTGGACCGGCACCTCCGCCGTGCTACACCATAGCTCCTTCCTCTTTGCAGTACAACCAGGTGGTGTCGACGACCGACAGCTCTCAGCCGGTTAGCCCCGATCCGAGTGGATGTAACACATGGACTGATCTGGCCGGTCGGCGTCGTGCCGCTCGACCTCTTCAGCAAGGCACGCACGACATGGCCGGCGTCTTCACATCGCTACCACCCTAGATGTGGCTGCAGTCTTCTTCGATGCTGAACCACCGGGTGGTTCTCTATCAATCGCCTCGTCCAGACCCATGAAGACAGATTGGTTAATTGGATTTATAGATGGCCATGTTAGATTGATCCACCAGTTGGCCCAACGGTTAATTGGGCCTTGATCCACGCCCTGATCGGGGGTGCCTAGCTCTAACTATGGTTGGTGGCCCCCTGTCGCGCAGCGCCATAAAAAGGGAGGTGGGGGCCAGAGCACAAGGCACGAGGTTCACCTGAACCGCCAGACACCCCACCTACAAACCCTAAGCTGATCTAGAGAGGGGGCGCTGCCAGCGATGGGAAGCATCGCCTATGGCAGAACCGCCTAATCCAATGTCTCGCAGGAGTACTTGTATTCCATTAGACACTAAGTACTCAAGAGAGGACACTAAATTACGTAGTTCCGTCGAGCACACTCCAAGTGAGAACTCGAAAATCAACATTTTCCATCAAGATCACAAATGAGAGAATAAAGCTTACAACATTCTTAAGTCATTTCTTACATCACTTATTACAGTACCAGAATATTACCTTAATTTATTATAACAACAGAATATAACCATGTTATTAGAGTTTCAGCGGAGATAGAATCATTTAATGATAAGTTAAACATTAACATGATGATCCGTTATATACATCATAACATGTTATAAGTTTTTCCATTGTAAAATATTTTTGGGTGGAAGTTTCAAATAAACTCCATGTCCGCAACATTAAGGAAATCGTCGTTGAGCCCACCAGGAGGTTTCCTCACACAAGTGTCCACTCCACATGTTCCTGTCACCTGCAACATGGTAGAACAAACCCTGAGTACTCAATTGTACTGCACAAGGCTTACTCGTTAGGAGAAAAGAAAATACTCCAAGGATATGCAGGGCTATCTGGCTTGTGGGTTATTGCATCTGCATGAAGCATTACTAAGCATGTATTATTATATTCAATTTCATTAGCAGTCATCATTAGTTCATTAACTAACCATTCTATGTTAGCACATGTGCTACTTTTAAGCAGGTGGTAAGCAATCAGAACTATTTTACCATCTTTCATATTCCAGTTCTTACTATGGTACTAGATCGTAGCCAAGTCATACCGTATCACACGGTGATTCGTGAACCAATGTATCACAGCTGGGTACCCCAAAACACACGCCCTGCTTATACCCCAGGCATAAGCAAGACCAACCCACCACTCTCCTATCAAGGGGTCCAGGTCCCTGTCCAAATTTGGACTTTAAGCCTCCACTCCTGAGTCTCGAACTCAGTGTGGCGCTTAGACCTCCACCATCCCTGCCTCCAATCAGTCAGTCCGAAAAGAGCCGAAACTCATGACAAGAGAGCAACGAGCCTTCCCGCTCCTATAAGCAAGTATGTGCTTAGGATAATAAGTCTATGACCTGACTACAATCCACTGCAACGGACGGTCCTCAATTGACATAGGCGGGACAAATGCAACCAGTGCCTCGCTCGGTTACCTAACCAAGTCCAAATCCCAATCCAAAGTATGGTCCCGCTCGGTCTCCAATTATTATCCATATATATTCTTTGTGATAGCAACATGATAATAGTAACAATAATATATTTTCTATCTTTCACGAGTGACAGGCAATCACTTGACTTCTACCAGAGTCCTGTAGCATAGCAATCTACCAGATCCTGTCATACTAGTAAGACTCATAGGATAAGGATATATATATGCAAGTGGGTTTCATTC